TCAACTTAACTCTTTATCTCTTTTTAATTCTTAGCGCATACCAATCGTAAGTCTGAAAATCTGTAAGTGGAAGTAGTCGTAAGTAGAGGGATACCTGTATTTTAAATTTTAATTAAAAACACATTTTCTTAAGAGAGTCACAAAAAGTAAAAGGAATTTGAAAGAACACATGATACTGAATAGAAAAATGCATCAGCAGGGAATTGACTCTTTTACGTATTTAAGAAATTTAAGAGAAACGCGGGTAGGTACGTCAAAAATTTTAAAATTACAAAAATAGTCAATGCTCACCAATCCCAAATGTAAACACTTCCGTTAGGTCTTCGTGCACCTCATTTAGTTATGGTTCCACACCCTGTCTACCCCTTTGTGCCACCATCCACTGACGGTAGTTAGTCACGAATAGCTAGGTAGATTTACCTAGATATTATATCATACGGAAGCATGTGAACGTACGCGGCCCCTTAACATGCCAATCCCGAGATTCGTATAATTAATTAGACTAAGCCGAGGAAACATGAAGTTATGTGAACTTAGTATGTTAACTAACAACTTATATCAACATTTACCTGTTTCCTTGTCTACGATCCATCATTCGTAGAACTTAGAAAAGGCAGAATCTCCTAAATTCGAGTAAACAGTACCATTTTGCTACTTAAATACATTTGAAAATTGTACTTTGTTAAAAAAAAATTCTTTATTTCCTCTCTTTTATATATCATTAGTAAGTACGCTAAATGTATAACATACATTTTTACTAGAAAGAACTCTTTGTTTCCTCTCTTTTATATATTATCAGTACGTTAAATATATAACATACATTTTTACTAGAAAATTGGAAATAGAAGATTAATTAATAGAAACTAATTAATACGGAAGCTGTTAGTCGTACCTTATTTTGTCGTACATTCTCCACATGCAAAGAAAGTACGAAAATCATGGTAATCGAAAGTATCACCGTTCAGAGCATTTGTATTCACATAGGACGATAGAATAGTAACAAGCTCAACAAGGTCGATAGCACGATGACAAAAATTACCTGCTCGGTCGCGTAAATGCGTTTGAGCCTTAACAAACGATATTATTAGCTGCATTGATTTGGTTTAATCAACTCCTATCGAGCAAATCGCCCGCAGGGTTTGTGTATTGGTGCAGTATCGGCGAATGGGATCACGCGATTCGATGGATCGGGAACAAACGTAAAAGGGTGAAAGGACACAGATGTGCAAACCAACCAACCAATTAACTAACCAACGAACGTCACGTGTTTGCTGAATAAAATAAACTGGCCGCGAAAACGCTGTTAATGATAAGTCGCGGCGCGTTTAGGAATGAAGGCGCAATGTTAAAATCAGTGAGATCGTTAACTGGATAGTAGCAGTGAATTGTTTAAAGCGAAGATCGAAAAACAGTATTGTAGAATGTCCGTCATATATTCTTTCGACTGCGGATTCTTATTATTAGATTATTGGCAGTGCAAAATGACAGATCGGTGTTGATCACATATTATTGAAAAAAAAAAAAAATTATTGATAGATCGTTGTCAGCTTTAATACTTTAATATTTCAGTAAATTGCTCATTAAAAATATAAAGCTTTTTTAATAAATTTATGAGATCGATTCTAGTTTCGTTATTGATTAAAACGTTTGCCGTCCACTTGGTGGAGAATCGATCTGATGCTTAATTCACAGACTATTATCGTGACATGCGGATCGCAAACATGTATCAGCATAATGCCCTTTTACCGCGAACGATTTCAACGATCTATGTCACGAATCTTGTAATTATCGAAGCGACCGAGTAGTATATATCGATATGAGATTTATGCGCTAAACTGGTATAATCTGTGACTACATGAAAATATTATATGATTATCATCGTTTCATCAATCTGCGAATTATTTTATGATTTTATGAACAGACTACGCCTTTACAAAGGTACCAAAGTCTCAGCAGATGTCTTTTCAGATTTCAAACAGAAAAATTGTTTGCAATAAATAATAGTAAATTATAGAATAATGATAAAATATAAAAAATTGTATTTTATACATAAAGTGAGATAATTTAATTTATCTCTTACTATATATAATCCTTCGATTTTAATGAGTTTTCTAATAGATTTATATATACTCTACATGATACTAAAAACTTAATAAAAATTATATTTAGCTTGTATATTAATAATTATTACATCTTTATGTTGGATTAAAATTAAGGAAATATGAACTTTAATAAAATTTAATTTGCAATAGGCGTTAATACGTGACATTTCAAAGTTTCTATAAGAAAATTGAATTTAATAATGTTCTGAATTCTAAATTTCCGATGATATATTTTCAAATATGCGAGGCAAGTAACTCTACTAATAAAGTCGTATGGGGTTATTTATGATTTTATGATACATGATTGATTTATTTTTACAATCTTCCATAGATGTCAAACGTTATCCACTTTTGCTCGACAGAATCTTGATAGCGGCAGTATTTGAAAATCAGGTTACACGTAAGGTAGCATGCAACGAATATTTTAAGATACGACCGACCTTAAAATATTCGTTGAAAAAGAGACAAATAGCTTCTGAATTAACTACATATATCTACTGTAGCAGTTTTTGTCAGCCTGGAAAGAGTATACGCATTCCATCGTGACACCTCATCTAACACTCAAAGCATACATCTATATTTTATCATACTTGATTTTGACGTGGATGTACTTTTTGCTGTCTATAAAGTGTCACGAGATATTTCTGATCGCCTATGAATCATAATATCGACTATATGGATTCAGTCCCCCGTGACCGTTCTGATCTCAGTATTGGATTATATCATCGTTGAACAACTTTATATACGATAATAACTCTTAATCATATGTAAGCTACTATTTTTACCACGAGACCTTCTACAATACGGCACGAGACACTCTTGGCTATTTACGAAACAAAATAAACAATAAGTTTGTTTTTATTGCTGTGCTAATTGCATTAGAAATTTTCTTCTTACTTTCGCTAAATATATAATCTGTTTTATTTTAAGCACGCGAAAGAAAGATTTTGCTGAAGCACCTAGAAATTTAACTAGATACAGATTTAAAAGTAATTTTGTTGGATTAAATAATTATGCAGAACGCTCAAATTGGTTGCTAGACTGTCAAAACTTTTTACAGTATGTATTTTCGGATTTATATCCAACTAAATTTTCAGATACTTTCAGCAAAACCGTTCTTTCTGTATGCAAACGCAAAACAAAAAGTGTGTACTAGTTTAGTTACAAAAAACAAAATGACAAAATAAGTTTAAAAGGTTATCGTTAACCGATTCAATTTACTGTATGCAACATTTTTGTTCAATTCATCTCAAGTTAGCGCAGTAAAAATGTGCCATTACTATTTAGTTTAACATTCTCTTTTTATTGTAATGGCATTCAGGATGAATCTCATAATATCGTAATATTATGAGATAATCACTTGATCATTAGTCATTACGGCTTACTGGCGTGATAATTCAACCAATCAACGTTTACATCTATCTGTTTAGATTTGTTTCAGTGATTAACATTGTATTGTCTATTCAGAATATTCAGAATCTGTCTATCTCGCTACGAATTTTATGTATTGTACATCACGCGTTTATCTACGATTACTAACGGCGAATGATTGAAAAATCGAATCTCTCGCGGTCGGAAGAGATGTCCTCGTTATTAAGTTTCATTTCGCGGAACGAGATATTGGACGATAGCCGGGGGAAGAAATCAATGGTCACTCCTTTACCTTCGTCATGACTGACTCATCCATGCGTCTGTCTTACCTGGTCGAATCAATTTCCTGGCCGTATCGTGAAGGGTCGGGGCGATCGTTTTGTAAGACTTCCTTCGTTGTCTAAGATATCGCAGAAATTTATACCTTGCCACCCAGATCGTTTTACGATCAATTACCGAGAGCGAATTATTAGCCGGTGGCAGCGGTGGCCAATACTGGAATTAATTAACTTAGTAACGATAAATAGTAGTATTTATGAATAACTCAATTATGTCTAGCGCGAACTTGCTCGTTTACATATTTCTGCAGGCTAATAATATTAATAACGCGTAAATTAATGATGTGTAACGGATATTGTGCATTTGTGGTGTACATTTATTTTTATCCGTTTATATTATACGATTAATTGATGCATGATGAAATGTGTTATGTTATCAGAATCGGGAATGTAAACAACCGCTTAAATTTATCTATGACTTGCCGCAAACGAAATACTTAAATCTATTCTCCTCTCTCTCTCTCTCTTTCCTTTTTCCTTATTTACGTTTTTTTCTTACTAAAAACTTACTATAAAAAAATTTTAAGAACATTAAATTTTATCAAAAGTCAAGGAATTTTCAATAATTTAATTTTATATAAAAGATTGTAAATCTTCCTATAATTTAAAGATTTTTTGCAAGTTTGTTCTATATTAAGTGTTTTATTGAGCAACTAAGTTATTGATATTCGATTGAAATTCTTAACAGTTACGCTTTGGAATATTTACTTTAAATTCTGGCATGCAAAAGTAATCGATAAAGAAGAAATAGAATTAATAAAGAAATATTAAGATTCGAGGAATTTGAGAAACTGAAAATTTATTTAAAAAATAAATCTAGTTAACAAATTTCGATAGAATAAATAAATAATTGTTGAAATGAAACCGAGTTTTGCACGTTCTTGAAAATAGTACATAAGAATTCTAATGTAATTGATATTTGAAATTAATCGTGGGAGAAAATCTAAAATCATTAATTTTTTTAATTCTTTTAATTTGGAAATTGTATTTTCCTAAACAAATTCAATTTTTTTGTATTGTATACACATAAAAAATGTATGTAAAATCCAGTAATTAATAAATAAAAATTTCTAAAGTTTTTTAAAACAAAGTCTTTGTTTATTTTAAATTAAATTCGTATGTATGTATATTAAAAATGTTATTGTGTTCTAAGTTACTTCTTTAAATTAACGACAGATATTTTTTGTAGGTATCCGGCACTCTCACGAAAGAATCGTAAAGGAGAAACGGATGATTGCAACGAGCTGCCAATTAAAGAAATGGATACGGTAATTACAAAGCCGCGTCGGCGACTAGGAATACGGGCCAATTCGGCGCGTTAAATGCTCCCCCGGCGATTCACGTTCCAGCCGGGGCTCTCGCGGATCTGGGATGGCCTTCTGGGAGCAAAAGCGGCAAGAGCAGCAGCAACAGCAACAGCAGCAGCAGCAACAGCGATATCGGATCAAACTCAGTTAACAAGCCCGTGTCGTCGCTGTATCGGTCGCGCAAGTAGATAGATTTTAAATCGAGTCAACTGTGGGACAACGGTAACAAAGTTAACGCGGCAAAATAATCCAGGGGCGATTGGTTCGCGTATTCCGTATATAATGAAAGCACATGAGACGAGACGGTAGTGGACCCCGAGGATGGTGGATGCTGCGAGGAAGAAATTGAATTCTGTTTTTACACGCCGCCTAATCGCTCGACACATCGCAGTGTCAAGGGAGATTCTGTTTAATGTAGAACACTGAAAAATGTAGATACAAGTATAGTTACAAAGAAGACACTATTAACCCCATCCTATTCCATCGAAACCTTTCGTGTGTATCGACAGTATCCACGATCGATCAGCGAAAGTACAGGCTATAAAATATAACGCTACGCCGTCGAAGAGAAACGTACCGGATGTCGCAAGGAAAAGGAATGACACGGTGAGAGGACCTAGAGACAACCAATCTCAGGAATGTGACGTGTGGCAGAATTCCGTGTGAGGAAATCAGTATCTTCGAACGGAAATCGTGGAACGAAAGAAAAGGAGGAACGTACGGAATAACAGATCGACGTACGCGCGGGATCGAACAAAGACTCGTCCCAACAAGTGTCCTTACGGATTCAAAAGTTTCCTGCCCGACGTCATCTTCGTCGCGAAGCGGCGTTGACTGTGTTATGGAATGAATCGATGCCCGGACGGGGCATCTAAGTGTCCACGATCATCATCTTCAATACGAGCATCATGACCCCGATAATGCGGCTGCTCTTCCTATCCGCTCTACTGGCCATACAATCCTGCTCGACCGTCTGCTCAGCGAGCAGCGATGGTAAACCTAATGGCCCGATCTTTAATCTAGATCACACTGTTCTGGAAAAGAACTTAGCGGCAATCTTCAACAAGGTGGCACATAGTTCCGCGACCACGAAGCGCAGCGTACCAGCATACGATGCACAAGTGTCGGCTAGCACAACGTTGTCGACGGTACCATCGCCGTTAACCACCAGTACGATTACCAGTACAACCACCGCTAGCCCGTCGATACCCGCTATTAAGTATCCGGCGGCGCCACGGGCCACGGCATCGCCCGTCTTTCGGGATCTGCCGTCGTACGCGCCGCCTTCCAGGGCACTCTTCACGCCACCCCTACCACCGGAGTACCTGCATCCATTCGCCGATAAACCCACACTGCGAGGTACCAACTCGGACGTGCATACCAACAACAGGAGACCGGTACCGCCACCGAGCTTGACGCCGGCGCACGAGCGGATACCCATCCGACCGCCGGATCTACCTCAGAGTCCTTCTCAAATACCAGAGAGGCATCATTCTCATACGAGGATCAAACCGGCAAATGTGCCCGACAGCAGAGAGCAGAGGCCGATGGAATCTGGTGAGGCCGATCGAAAGAATGGCACGAACGATCCTTCGTTCGTGACTCTTCATTACCCCAGTATTTCTAGGATTTTATCTGGCAGCAACGGCAGGAAACAGGATATTCCCGATATACTGTTAAAGCCTTTAGCTACGAAAAGTCCGTTGCTGCCGAATATTCCTCCTGTCCCAACGACCGATAAAACTACGTCGCCGCCAAGCACCATGACGTCGAAAGCGCCCGGCAGTACCGTGGATCCTTCGAAGATCGCTGTCACGCAGCCGACGATCTTCAACCTACCAAATACTGGCCGACAGGACGACGACGGCTATCA